CTGGGCTAAATGCTTTACATGCATTATCTCATTTAACCTTCACAATAACTGCTAAGATGGTTGCTAATATTATCATCATTTCAGAAGGCAGAAATAGGCTCAGAAGCATTCAGTAACCTGCACAAGCTCACAAGTGGAAAGCCTGGGACTCTAACTCAGAGGTGTCTGACTATAGATCCTATGTTATTAACCACCAGACATGCTGCTGCTTCAAACAAAAGGAATACCAAAGTAAAATTATAGCAAGAAAACAGTTTACTAATAAATAGGAGAGCTGCTTGACTTTTAATGGCCAAGTTAAAGAAAGATATTAAGGAATATCTATTCTCAGAGATTTTACTTTAATGATCCAATAACTTTTTGTTTGGAAAACTTTGAAGGAGTCTGGCCTGAAGCCTGAAACAGAACAATGAACCTCCTGACATTCCTTTGTCAAGATCTAAAAATCTATATACATGTGCTATTAAATAAGTCCAGACTCTACAAGTAAGGAACCAACATGAAATGCCCTATGTTGAATCTATTATAATCATATCCATTCTCTGTTCTGATTTATTCCAGTTCTTCAGGTTTTGAGTTTCCTAGACTGCCTTTAAAAGGCAAATTCGTTTCCCTCACCCTGACTCTAGGAGTTCATTTAAAATACAAAAATTGCAAGAAAATCCCCACCCCTCAATCTCTCTTACCTTTCAAAAAACTTTAAATCAGTTAGGAAAGGAAATCTTTAATAAATAGAATCTAAAAGTTGTTGAGTTACCTGCACTTATTAAGTGTTTAATTTAATTTTTCATTTATTAAAAAGGCAAATTCGTTTCCCTCACCCTGACTCTAGGAGTTCATTTAAAATACAAAAATTGCAAGAAGAAAATCCCCACCCCTCAATCTCTCTTACCTTTCAAAAAACTTTAAATCAGTTAGGAAAGGAAATCTTTAATAAACAGAATCTAAAAGTTGTTGAGTTACCTGCACTTATTAAGTGTTTAATTTAATTTTTCATTTATATTAAGAATGTCTACATTATTAAATATAATTCCATCTGATCCAAGGTTGCTAAATTTTCAAATGAAAAAATCTGAACAGATGGGATTCAGGAAAATCTAAGAATTCATTTATAATGGGGGCTAACACATAGTAGTTCATTCATTCATTTTAAAGCTGCTTCTTATATTCTTAGATGAACGGCAAAGAATGAGTACAATATTGCATATAAAAAGGAAGTGACTGGTGCATAACTTAATACGTTGTATTAAGTATGATTCAGAATATAATAAGGACAAAAAATTGGCACTACACTGAGGTACTCTGCCTAAGGTTTACAATATAGCAGCTTCATCATTTCGTCAAAAGCATTGCAATCACTTCTGCAAAATTAACTGCAATTAATTCCTGGTAACTCTTGGAATTAAGCCTAGACTTCCTTACTCACTTTTTGAATTTTATCAGCGCTTTCTCTGGTGTTCACAAACTGAGAACTTAACATTCTATTGAATAAGGACCAAGATAAGGAATCTACAAAACAGCAAGAATATAAACAAGTTTATCTTCTGCTGTTACTCATTTGGGAAGTTAATCTCTCCCAGAACACTGGAAAGACTTAACAGTAAAGCCGTTCTGCTAAGATCTACAAAACAGCAAGAATATAAACAAGTTTATCTTCTGCTGTTACTGATTTGGGAAGTTAATCTCTCCCAGAACACTGGAAAGACTTAACAGTAAAGCCGTTCTGCTAACCACAACTCTTACAATAAATCTTCAATTCTTTAAAATGATTTCCTCAAAAGTTAAAATACCAAAGTGAGCAAAATTGTGTGCAGGGGGCCGGGGGGGGCGGGTCGCTCTTAATGCTATTGGTTCGACTCACAATTCTTAATCCTTCTACGTACCTCTCAGACTCAAACTTTAAGGTGTTTCATTCAACTTGCATTAATTTCTAACAGAATGGTTATTTACTTCGGACAGACCCTGAAGGTTTTCCTTTAAAACACTTCAATTTCAGGAAAACGAGACAGAGTTCTAAAACATTTACAACATTTTAGTGCTGCATTGAATTTGCTATGATCATATACTTATTTCAATCTCATTAAAATTGCTTGCCTAAATTTAACCAACTGCTACATTTTCACTAAGGTATTTTCAAGAATGAATGAGGCATATATTCATTTGTAATGTCTGCGCTCTCGTGACAGGTTATACGATCCCAAGTATCCAATTCTGAAGTCCTCCTTTAATGTAGCTATTTCTTTAAAATCCCGTTACTCTGACTCTCAGTCCAGGCAAGGTTTTCAAGATGATTAAAACAAAACGAAACAAAACCTGCACGTGCAAACTAAAAAGTTAGCATCTTAATGCCATCGCGGCAAACCCCTAATGCACAAAGGCAAAGACTCCCAACCGCGGCTCGGACACCCGCAGGACAAGACCGCACCGGACCACGCGAGCCTCTCGGTTGGGAACTCAGGGCCCGGAGCCCACAGAGAAGCCAGGACCCGTTCGCAGGGTCCGCCCGGCGCCGAGTTTTCAATGGAACCCGAGAGGATGGCGGCGGGAAGGAGCGGAAGCTCCGGGTGCAAACCGCGGCGACCGAGCTGCGGTTCAGTTCCCGTCCCGGGGTTTTCAGGCTGGGTAAAGTCCCCTCCGGAGGGGGCCACAGAGCAGGCCGGGTTTTTGAGGCGGGTAGGGTGGGCGGCGCAAGGCTCCTGCGGCCGGGGGTAGGGAGAGCAGGGCTCAGACCCCGGCCCCTGAAAACACTTTCGAGGCGTCTCCCACCCCCCACGACAAGATGGCGACGTGGACATGGGGGAGCCCGGACGGCGAGGTTGGGGGAAAAAGAGGGGAGGGGACAAGAGGCAGAAACAAAAAGGCCGGCCCCCCAGGAAGGCCGAGGCCGGCCCTCGAGCCCCGGGCGGGCCGGCGGGCGGGGGCGCGGGCGGCCGGAGGAATGGGCGTACTTTTTC